GCAGCGCGCGCAGCCGTCCCCGCTGGGTCCAGGTCGCTGGGCTCTCTCCGGGCGCCTGCGAGGCGCCCCGAGGGACCTGCAGGAGACCCCCGGCAGTGGACGCGCCAGAGGCGGGGGCCTGCGCCCGCGCAGCTCTGCCGGGGTTCCGGGCGGCCCCGCCCCAAACCGCGCGGCCGGGCGCTCCCCCCAACCGCCCCCGCCCCCGCCGGCCGCGCTCGGCCGTCTCCGCGCCTCGGCGCTCGGCGGCGCTCGGCTGTCTCCGGCCGCTCGCTCGGCGCTCGGGTCCGCGGCTGCCGCGGCGCCGGGCATTTCTCCGCAGGCCTGGCTCGCGGCCGCGCCTGCCGCCGCCCGGCCCGCGCCCATGCAGGCCATCAAGTGCGTGGTGGTCGGCGATGGGTGAGTGCGCGGCCCGGAGGTCGCTCGGCTGGGCTGGGCCGGGTTTGGGCTCAAGGCGCAGCTGGCGGGGCGGGGGTGGCGCCCGGCTCTCGCGAGGCGGCTCCCGCAGTACCGCGCTCCGAGCCGCGTGCGCCCCGGGGCCGAGGAGGGCGGGGTGGGGCGGGGGCGGGTTCCGCGTGGCCTCCAGCTTGGGCCTTCCACCTGGATGCCGCCTGGCTCCTGTCCGCTGCCGGCGAGGCGGGGCCGCCGCCCTGTCCTCCCAGTGGGTGGGGCCACCTCACCTGGCTGAACCCTCTGCCGGCCCCACCCTCCCCTGCCGCCACCTCGGAGTCGGGGCCTGCCTGGGGCTCCCACGTTGGGCGCCCTGCGCCCTGTTCACCACCCCAGCCCCTGACATTCGGCCTGCTCCTGGCTGTCCTCCAGCCCTAGGTCGTTGCGCGGATCTGGTGGGCTGGGACCTCCCTGCCTCCACCTCCCAGACGCCCCTAACTCGCCTCTGGCTCCTGGGGAGGGGGTTGCCCTTGCTGGGCAGAGGGTCCGAGGCTGGCCTGGGAGCCACGTGGCTTGCCCTGTCCGCAGCGCCGTGGGGAAGACATGCTTGCTGATCAGCTACACGACCAACGCCTCTGGGAGAGCACATCCCCACTGCAGGAGTGTGGGGCTTCCCGGAGAGCACAGGCCCTCCCAGAGTGTGGGGGCTTCTGGGAGAGCACAGGCTCCTCCGTGGTGAGTGTGTGGTATGGGGGGATTCATGGCACGATCTCCCTGGGCTTCCATGTCGGCTCAGGTGGCCCTGTCTCTGGGCTTCCCGGTTGGGGCTGAGGTACTGGCTAGAGTTCTAGTTCCGTGCAGGAGCCAGAACCCAAGACAGGACGCCGGCAGGGCCGGGTTTCTGGGACCCTCCGCCCTTGACCCTGCTCCCCTCACTACTCTGCAGTTTTGACAACTACCGCCAACGCGGATGGTGGACGGCCGTCAACCTGGGGCTGGGACACGGCGGGGCAGGGGAGGATTATGATCGGCTGCGGGCCATCACCCCCAAACTGTAGGTGATAACCGGGCCAGCCCCGGGAGCTGGGTGGGTCCTCCTGAGGTCGTGATGAGGAGGGAGCAGGGCCCTGGGGGAGCCCTTGACCACCTCCACCAGGCCCCCATCTTCTTCCCAAGGACGTCTTCTGATCTGTTTCTCCCTGGTGAGCCCGGGGCCTCCCCGAGAACGCTCGTGCCAAGGTAGGGCAAGGCTGGGGCCCCTGTGGGAGAGGGCTCCAGAACCTGCCCACAAGTTGTCCTTTAGAGGCAATTGAGACACGGTTCTGCCTGGAGAGTAGGAACATGGGGGTGGGGCCTGAAAATGACCGTGGGGGCTGATGGGTGGCGAGGTGGTGGTGGGCACAGCTCTCAGAACGGGGAGGGGCTGGTCTGCTGAGGATGGGCTTTGACTGGGAGGCTCCTGGGAGGTCTCCAGGTTCTCTGGCTGCGTGGTTTTTTCTCAATATCTCCCACCAAATCCGCCCCTGGTCACCCCTGAAGGAAGAAGAGCCAAGTGTAGCTCTGAGCAGTGAGGTCCCGGAGGGCCATGACTTGCTCAGGTGGGGCTGGGTAGCAGACTCCGGGCCTAGGAGTCAGAGCGCCTGTCCCTGCAGTGGTATCCGAGGTGCGGCACCACTGCCAGCAATTTTTCCACCCTCTGGTGGGCACTGCTGACCTCCGCGACGACAAGGACACCACGACGGGCTATGATTAAGAAGTTGAAGTGCCATCACCTACTCCACAGGCTCCGGCCATGGCCCGGAGATTGGTGGGTAGGCGAGAGGCGTCCGCAGGAGGGGTGGGGAGAAAGCCACTGCATTCCCACCCTCATTGTCTGCCCCTCCTCACTGCCTAGGCTCTGTGAAGTACTTGGAGTGCTCAGCCCTGACCCAGCGGGGCCTGAAGACAGTGTTTGACGAGGCAATCCGCGCAGTGCTCTGCCCGCCGCCAGTGAAGAAGCCAGGGAAGAAGTGCACGGTCTTCGAGCCCTGCACACCTGAGCCTGAGGGTTGGCGGGAGCAGCCTCAGACGTGTCTGTTGTGTTGAGACGTGTGGTGTTCCTGAGTCGAAGGTGGGGAGCGGAGGGTGGGCAGGGGGGAAGCATGGGGATGAGGCTGGGCGGCAGGATCCTGTCCTCTCTGCTGCTCCAGCTCCTGGGGTGTGGCTCCAGGCCTTCCCTGGCTCCCCGGGCCGGGAGGCCAGGAGGAGCAGGGTCTCCTCAGGGCTGCAGGGGCAGGTGCAGGGAAGCCCCAGGATGGGCTTCCTGAGGGGGAGGGTGGGGAGTTCTGTCCATTGCGCTCCGAGGCGGGGCGGCCCTTCTTATTTTATACAATAAACATTCTCACGACACCTCTTGCCTCTCACTACCTGCCCTTCTGCCCTGGGGCGGTTTGTCTTAATTTCCAAGTGATGGTGCAGAGCAGGTTATCACCTCAGCCGCACCCTTCACCTCAGAGCGAGTTCCCAGAGGGCAGCACTGCTTCCTCCACCCCACCCCAGGGAAGAGGGCCTGAGCTGCTGAGCCCCCAAAGCAGCCAACTCCAGATCAAAGCAATAGCTAGTGCACGGAGCCCTGGGATGTTTGCTTGGCTGTGCACAAGGCTCCCCAGGCCGACGCGCAGGCGCCTGGGAGGCACATGTCAGGAGAGGCAGGCCTGGTTCTCAGGCAGCTCCCACAGTTGACTGGGACAGTCTGGAAAAGAGCTGAAGCAGGCCGGGGGCCTCCGGAGCCCCATGGGAGTTGAGCAGCCTCCCCCATCTCAGCTCCTCCCAGCTGGCACTGGGAGTAAGGGCAATCCAGGCGGAGGGGCAGGGTGGAGGAGGGCACGGGGTCAGCGTGGTGGTGTGGAAAAGTTTAAGAGAGCAGCGAATTAAAGCACAGTTCTTCCGCTGACGCTGAAGCCAGAAACGTGGGCCCTGAACCATGGTCCCGGGCTTGGAGTCACTGGGATTGAGGGTGCCGTGAGGGCCACTGCCTGCTTCCGCCTGCGGCTGTGTGGGACAGCCTCACTGGCTCAGGAAAGCCAACCGCGGAATTCTCAAGAATTTTGCTAGCCAGCTGTTAATGATCATTAACAATTAAATTATAGAAGTTTACAATTTGTGTTATTAAAAGCAAAATCAACAAACATCACTTCCTAGTTATTTCTGCACACATGACTGTTTTCTCTGCCCCCAAGTTATGTGCACATTCATGGACCTATGGACACAGACACCACATAACGGGGTGCTGAGGGCATCTCTTCCAGCTCCACATTCAATGACATCTAACCGGGTAGCTGAAATCAGCTGTAGGGAGATGACACCATGGGAACTGGGTACCTTTCACATTGGGACTTGATTACAGTTACTTGTCTAGACTTAAGATGATTAAAATGTAGATTAGACTTCAGGGTGCTGTGTCTGCTCAATACATCAGAACAGCAACATAAATGCTCTTCTAGTATCCAAAACCATCTGATTCAACAAAGTGGCTCAGGTCACTGATGAAGTGGAGAACCTTGACATCCTCCTTGTTTCCCTTTTGTCTTACTCATTAGCTTAAAGGAAGAGGAGCCAACCGTACACTCACAGAGCGGGTGATCAACACTTACATGCACACACTGTCTCACCCCAGAGGTTCTGGACAGGTCCAAAGGCCAACCTTGCTGAAATTCACCACCTTCTTTAGGAGCTGGCCTTTCACCACCTCCTACCTCCCCTGACAAACAACTGGCCAAGCCTGAAGACCTCAGGAGTAGGAGCCAGGCTCCACCTTGGATTGGAATATGAATCTCATGGGTCTCTGCCCACATTCCATACCAGCCCTTGCCCCAGCTACCTGCTGGCAGCTCTAGGAATAGTACATAGCCTGGGCAGCAGAATCAGGTTTATTGGAGGGATTGGGGAGACGGCAATGCATGGGGTTTGAGGTATGTGGGAGGGAGCTCAGCTGGCTCCAGAAGCTCCCTTCCACCGTGCAGAGTGGATCATGGTCATGCCGCTTCGGTCACTCAGCAGAAAGAGGATGGCATCCACCACATGCTCTACCTCTGTGGGCAGGGCGGGGGTCAGGGGCATAGGGCTGAGGCTGTTGCCCATCTTCCTCCCACCCCCTGCCCAGGGCACGACAGGGGCTGCTGCACCATGCTGGCTGATCTCCCACCCACTCACCAGCAAACTTGCTAAGTGGGATCGGTCCAGCATAGGCTTGGCCTTGCAGGGTCACTCAGCTGGCCTGGCCTACGTGCGTCATCACCACTGTGGGGTTTACTGCATTCCACTCGGATCTACACCGGGACAGCTGGGGTCAGCAGGGCGAGTGGGGTGCCTCTAGGCTGGGGGAGGTACTCCCAGCCCTGCTCTCACCTTGTGGGGCCGAGCCTAGGCCATCACCTGGTCAACATGTCCAGGGCACTCCCAGGAGCTCAGAAGAGGAACCCAAGCTGGCTGTGGCTGGGGTTGGTGATGCGGGTGAGGCTGGGTGGGGGGTGGGGCTGAGAGGGCACAGCTGGGGTACTCACAGACTTCCCATGGTTAGTTACCACTGGGAGCACTGGCTGAGATATTCACGATGGCCCCCGCCTCGACACAAGCCCTGGCCACGATCTGAAATTGCAGCGAGACCGGGTGAGGCAGAGCTGGCACCACTCATCAGAATTCTGTCCAGCCCGCAGGCAGCTCACCTGTGACACCTGGATGACCGCACGCAGGTTCACTTCAAAGGATCTAGAGGCCGAAGGACAGACCCTGGTCAGAGATTAGGGCTGCTGCCCCTCCGGACAGCCCCTCCCTGAGGTTTTTCCGCCTCACAGGCTCACCTGTCAAAGGCATCCTGGTGACCTCCAGGAAGGGCTGCAGCAGGGCGACAGCGGCGTTGTTCACCAGCAGGTCCACGGGGCCCACGCTGCCCAGCGCCCGGGCCGGTGGCCTCCCAGTCACCCAGGTCCACGCACACGGCTCTATCCCTGGGCACTGTGTGTATCAGGGGCAGTTACTGAGGTTTGTGCTCCAGCAAGCGGCACACGGGATCAGTTGCACCTTTCAGCCGGACAAGGAAAGGAGTTAGGGCTCCAGAGGTGTCAGACTGTGGGGCCAGAGCCAGCGCTGGCCTTCCGGCCGGTTCACTTCCTCCCTGCGCCCGAGCGACTCCTGCCCGGGGCCTGCTCCGCAGCCATTTCCCGGCCTCTTTCGCTCCGGGGCCCTGGCAGCCTGCCGGCCACCCGACCGCCCACGCGCAGGCCACCAGCCCCGAAGACGGTGCGAGGGGCGCCCAGGCCGCGGTGAGAAGCGCAGCGCCCGCGAGGGGAGGCGAAGTCGCGGATGGACACCGCCCCTGCTGGCTGGCGCGCCCTTCCCGGCCTTTCGCCGCCTCGCCGCCTCGCAGCCCTGGGACCCGGCGGGGCCTACCTCGCGGACGAGGCTGTCAAGATTCACTGTGTTCGGTCTACAGCCACCACCCGCAGCGCCCGCCGCGTGCAGCGCCTGGACCGTGCCGCGCCTGATACCCGCCGGGAGCGCGGCTCAGTGAGCGGGCATCCTGCCCGCCTCTGCCCTCCGCCGCCTTTACCGACCTTCCCCGCCGCCCACCTTGCCCGCCCCGGGTGACCAGCACTTTGGCGGCCCAAGGCGAGACCTAACCTACGTCGGCACAGTCTCCGCCCTGCGTACTAGGGCCATGCGGACGAAGGTCTGGCCACGGTGGGCGGGCGCGGGCGGGGCCAATGGCAGGGCGGCCTTCAGATAGGGGCAGGGGGTGGGACATTCAAACAGCTGCTCCCGCTGCGGTGATTGACTGAGAGGAGTGGGCGCACGGGAGAGGGGCGGGGTCTCCGCTGCCGCAGGGACGGGTCTTTTTTTCTTTTTTTTTGAGAGATGGAGTCTCGCTCTGTCGCCCAGGCTGGCGTGGTGGCGCGATCTCGGCTCACTGCAGTTCCGCCTCCGGGTTTACGCCGTTCTCCTGCCTCAGCCTCCGGGGTAGCTGGGACTACAGGCGCCCGCCACCTCGCCCGGCTAGTTTTTAGTAGAGACGGGATTTCACCTTGTCAGCCAGGATGGTCTCGAACTCCTGACCTCGGTGATCCGGCCCGTCTCGGCCTCCCAAAGTGCTGGGATTACAGGCGTGAGCCACGGTGCCCAGCCCAGGGACGTGGTCTTTGAACTGCCTGGTGTGACCCATCCTCTGTGCTTGAAATCGATTTAGTGGACCCTGGCTACGATTTTCCCTGCAAGATTATTGCCAAAAGACGATGTGGTGGTTATTAGAAAGAACGTGTGGTTAATATCAGAAAGAACACGCGAATGGAGAATTCTAGGGCTAACATTTCCTTGTTTTGTTTCTGAAAACACTCGTGACAAATCCTAAAATGTGGTGTGGCCTGTGCCCATCATTTCAGGCTTGACAGCAGGACACCGCTGGCTCACTTGTAAAGCCAAGGGAAAGAATTTGACCACCAAGTAATGCCTGGAGAAGACACCAATGTCAGCAGAGCTCCGCCATCTATGGGCTAAGGATTACCTAGGTGCCAAGGCAAGAGACTGAAGATGCAAACTGTTTCAGTATAATAAAGAAAAGAAGTTAAAATGAAAATAGTCATAATACAAATTGATATAAAAAATGATCATGGATATTAATAACTGCCAGGTATAAACATTAATCATTGGTTTTTAATATTACTCTTGTTGCATTACTAATATAACCTAGGACAATGTGGAGAAGTGACTCCAGAAGACAAGAGGTGAGCACTCTGTCACGCCCGCATTAAGGGCGCTTGAGGGCTCTTGGTCAAGCTGTAATGCCAGTGTCTGGGAAGACACCCACAGCTTAACAGACCGCGAAAGGAGTCTCCTTTCCTTGGAGGACAGGAACACTCTGCTCCACCACAGCTTCTTGTGGGGCTGGATATTATCCAGGATCGCCTGCAGTCATCGCAGGCCTAAACCCTCCTTGTGGTGTTGTGCTTAATGGTCAAGTTTCTTTGTCCACTGTTCTCCGTATTCTGGTTCCTCTGAAGTTCGTAGGTAGATAGTAGTGGAAGAACAGTGAAACAAAGCCCTTTGATCTTTCTTTTTTTTTTTTTTTTTTGAGGCGGAGTCTTCACTCGGTTGCCCAGGCTGGAGTGCAGTGGCTAGATCTCGGCTCACTGCAAGCTCCGCCTCCCGGGTTCGTGCCATTCTCCTGCCTCAGCCTCCCGAGTAGCTGGGACTACAGGCGCCGCCATCACGCCCGGCTAATTTTTTTGTATTTTTAGTAGAGACGGGGCTTCACCATGTTAGCCAGGATGGTCTCGATCTCCTGACCTCATGATCCACCCGCCCGGCCTCCCAAAGTGCAGGGATTACAGATGGCAGCCACCGCGCCAGCTAGCAGCAAGCAAGTTATTACTAGTAATACACTTACAGTGAAGGTTTTAAATTTTCTTATAGCTGGAAACTATTTTCTAAATACACCTAGGATCAAACCTGTGTTAAACCTGTACAGACACGTGTATCAACTTTGTCATGTCCTAAGCAGGTTAGTTTTTTACTGGGTCTTAAAAAGCTTTTTTATTTGCGAAAAGTAAATAGTATTTTTTAATAACAGAAGTTGTTTTTTTTTTTTTTTTTTTGAGACGGAGCCTCTCTGTCACCCAGGCTGGAGTGCAGAGACGCAATCTCAGCTAACTGCAAGCTCCACCTCCCAGGTTCACACCATTCTCCTGCCTCAGCCTCCTGAGTAGCTGGGACTACAGGCGCCGCCACCACGCCCGGCTAATTTTTTTTGTATTTTTTAGTAGAGACGGGGTTTCACCGTGTTAGCCAGGATAGTCTCGATCTCCTGACCTCGTGATCCGCCTGCCTCCGCCTCCCAAAGTGCTGGGATTACAGGCGTGAGCCACTGCGCTCGGCCCTGTTTCAGTTTTCTAGAGGAGGGTCTTTCTCCCCCGCCCCTTTTGTAACTCCCATTTAGTGGCTCAGCCTTCAGTGAGAAATTGGAATGCAGATAATGCGGTGAATCTTGCTGCTTTTAACTTCTAATGTGACCCACGGCCCCGGGAGCCTCATGAGAAGGTGCCGGTCTCCCAGTCTCTTACGGTTTAGCTCCTGCCAGTCTGATCAAATCGGCATTTGTTCCTCCAAGGTGCGGCAGTTCTGGCCGATGGCCTCTTGTCTTGCAGCCTTGGCCATTTTTGGCTGCCTTTTGAAACATTTACCTTCTAGTGTCCTGTCTTTTTGCATCACATTGACTTCTAGCCTTGTCCGGCTCTGAATCCTTGCCTAACTTGGATTTCTTTCATATCTACATCCACGTCGCTCCACGTCTCTCACATTGCTAATTTTTTTTCTTTTTACACTTACTCTTAGTCTTTCCTTTTCTTTGCTCTTTCGCAGCTTTGTTCCTTGGCTCAGTTAACACACACACCTTGGTGGCCACTTTTCTAGACTAGGTGGTATTTGTGCAGCTTGCTTTGATGTTACTCCTGGGCTTGTTTACAAATGAAGTATTTACTATATACTGATTTTCAGCAGCTCATAGGTTAAATGGGGTGGTAAAGCCAGAATGTTTATAGAGTCTCTTATAAACTGACTCAGGCTCTTGTCATTCTCACATTCCTGAAATCTTTTATATTACTTGCTTTTTTCTACCAACTCTTAGCCTCTGTAGAAGTGCTTCTCGGTAATTTCCAAACGCTCAGTTGAGTTGTATTCTCTGGTCTTTTTTTCCTTTTCCTAGAGTTTAACAGGCTCTTTCTTTATATAATTCTTTATGCACTTGAGGGTTAAACAGGCATAGCGAGAGTCAGCCGTGAATGTTTACAGTCTTACCTTCACTGAGTTCTAAGGCCCGACTAAAGCAATGAGCCACAAAGCCAACAGGTCTCAGGTTACCACCGCATACTCTGCACACTTCTCTCCTTGTGGGTTGATGGGGTTGCTCCACCCACGAGCACAAGCTCCTAGTCTACTGGATGCCCAAGGCTGGTCCCAGAGGTCAGGTTCACAGAGTAAACTTGGAGTCTCAACACCTCTACACAGTCATGTCTACAGGACTCTAGCTGCCGAGCAAGGTGGCGGGTTCAAGGTGTTTCCAGTTTAGGAGCCCAATGGTTGAAAAGGGTTTATAGATGAAAGTCTGTTGCCCTCCGGATGTGGGCCTGGTCATTATAATAGACAGGTCCCTCGTGGTCTCCCTGAGAGGCATTTGCATAGCTCAGAATAAGACCAGACCTGAGATCGTCACTTGACTGTCTTGACTTCCTCCTTGGCTTCTCAAGGCTCCCATCCTCCCCTTTGTGCACCTGGGGCATGTTAGCTCCTGAATCTAGTTTCCTGAGGGGCTGTTGGCCCCGGTAAAGCAGGGTAGGCTGGGACATATGGAGAAATAATTTATATTATCTCTGGCGGTTTCCCTGCAAACTGGCTCTTTGCTGTTTCTAATTCTTGTTTAACTCTGTGTCTGCTGGTGAAGCTGCTCTTACTTTTACTTTTGGCTTTTTTGCAATAAGCTGTTAAACAGGGCTAAATCAGTTGATTTTGTCTATATATTGTATTTAACCATGAGTCACTATAAAGGAATTTGATCTAGGTACACCAGCTGTCCTCCGACCCCTGTCACCACCTTAAATACATGGACAATTGTTGTTCGTCTATAGTTCTCTTCGTGGGCCATCCAACACCAACAGAGGGCAATTCTAATTCACACAGAGTTTTTAGAACTTCTAGAGTTAATTTAACTTTATAATCTCCTGCAAAACTTTCTTTAAGGTTCTGTAACATGCGTTTTAATAGAGTAAGTTTTGGTGATTTGATGACTTTCCTTTTATTTTTCTTTTCTTGATTTTTTTTTTTAACACAATTCCTAGTGGCGGCCTTTACTTTGTGTCCCACCTATTTTTCTCAGACAAAACAACATTCATGCTACAAAAAGGAAAGGG